CCAGAAGCCACTACTCCGGTCTCCGTTTCCCAGCCTTCGCCACGCCGGTGGTGAGTACCCACTCGCGGAAGCGGTCTCCGACTCCTCGAGATCCCCTTCTGTCATTGCTGCTTCGCTGCGATGAGCTGAGTGTTGTGGCAGCGATGGACTTGGTGGGAGATCGAAGTCCTGTAAGCTGGCGTCTAGACCTTCGAGGGGATCCATTGTCGGTAGATCTTTTTGATGGTGATGAGTCCTGGTGCGAATCCCGACGACGGCGATATTCTACTTCTTGAAACTCAAGTTGTTTCTGCTTCTCGAGGAGAAGTCGTTGTTGTTGAGCTAATTGTTGTTGTTGGAGGTAATGGCGGCGCTGCGCAAGGACGATATCCTGCCCAGAGATGACGAGTTGCTGCTGATCCTCGAATACAAGTCCAGTGGCGGCATATGGTGGCTCCGGTAGGGCCTTTTCAGGTTTGGCTGGATGCCTTTGACTGTCTGTTGGGTCTCCAAGTATTGGCCTTAATATTGAAGCCAGCGATGGCAAAGGTATGCCCAGATTAGGAAATCGGCAAGCCAAAAGACGGGGGATGTAAATGATGGCAAAGAGAAGAAGCAGAGCAACAGTGATAAGATACGTGCTTGGAGCAATAGTGACGCTGACGAGCGAGACGTTGTTGTTGACTGTGAAGAAGGAAGTCATAGAGACGATAGCTGAGTGATATACGGCTTTCTCTGCCACTGAATTGACTCGACTTGTCTTTGAATAAGATAATGGGAGGTGGGGTTATGACAAAACGGTTGTGAAGTCTAAGGTTAATGAGTATCGAGTGTTTGGTATGGTATGGTATGCATAGAATGATGATGATGATGATGATGATGATGATGATGATGATGATGATGATTGGATGGTTGGTTACTGTAGAGAGGAGATAGAAGGGGCAAATAGAAGCTCAGGAACGATATTCCAAACTTCCTTGTGCAAGGGTACCTAAGGTGATATTTGAGTGTATATGGATGGATAGAAGAAAGAAGGAAAGAAGGATGGGGCCGCAGGTGCCTTGACCGACTGAGCAGCCTGGGAATGTGGATGAGAAGGGGAAAGGAAGGATGAAAGTTCAAGAACAGGAAGGAAGTTAGACATGAAACACAAGTGGTTATTCAGTTACTACCTGACATTTACTAAGACAATAATTGATGCACATCACTAACAGCTCCAGATAAACCACGCTTGCCTTAACCCATCACACATTCACTCACTCACTCACTCTTGCCTTTACTCACACATTCATCCGCAACTTCCCCTCCAAGACCCAAAATCAACGAGGCTGGGCCCTTCTTCCCTCCCCCTAGACAACGCATAACATCCAATCAAGCCCCGCCAACCGTGCAGAACAAGACCGTTTCTCGAGCCCCCCCGCACTAGTCTTGTTTAGGAAGCACTTAACGCGCCCGAAGCTGAACACGCGACGGTCACATGGTGCTTTTTGTTTATTGACCCTGAGAGATAAGACTATTTATTCCCTTTATAAGGTGATCCACTACACGAAACTGGGACGTATTCACGACTCTATAACGTGTCTGTTTTGGAGGCAAATTCCGTCCACATTCACAGGGCTCGCGACCGTGTTGTTTTTGGGCACGAGGACCAATGACACCGCAATTATGACTCGACGCTCACGCTCTTGATACGCTGGCAACGCTTTGTTGTTGATTGTGGACCATTTGTTACAAAAGTGGACCTGGTCTGTGTCTTTGGCCTTGATGGAGGCCAAGATGCGATGGCGGATGAAGCGGGAGGGATGAGGCGATGAGGCCATGGTATCTACAGTGACGAAAGGCCCAGGATCGCTACAAAGATGCCTGATGCTCGGCTCATAGTCTGCTATTCTCCTCAAAATTCAGGCTGCAGCGGTTTCTGGAGTTTATTTAGCCATCATGCATATGAACTGTAGTCTATCTTCACTAACAACTACCGCCGTCCTTTTCTTCTGATATACAATCACCTCATGCTCATACAAAGCTCTGTCAGCCTATAGGTACAGCCACCATGTGATCCAGCAGTTACCCCAGCTCCCATATCTATGCATAGTTTCCAGCATCGTTCTCGACATTGGGGTTCTTCTCTTCGATGGCCAACTCACAGCACAGCCGTCCCAGAAACTCCATCCTTCTCATTGACGCCTTGAGCCTCATACCCCAGCCGATGCACTCAATTACTGGCTGGGCACACTGAGTGAACAGCTCAATCACCGTTTCTGTCGCCATTGGCTTCTGATCGTTGAGGGCGTTCTGCAGGTTCAAGCCGTCTTCCACCTCTACCACCGAAGGCCTCTCTGTTCCCTTCCACGGAAGTGGAAATTCCTCACAGAGCATATCCACAGCCAACGACTCGGCGAGCTTGGCATCCCAAGTCTCTGAACCCGTGAGGTTTTTCCACGACTGGGCGAAACACACTGGAACACTATTACTCCAGACTCGAGGGCCATTGTGGCGATTATGTACGTCGTACATGGCTGTGCCCTCTTCTATCAGACCCCACCATACGACGAGCTCGGTGTCTGTATCATCAGCTCCAAGGAATAAGACTCCATATATCGGGTTTTGTGTTGGTTTGTTGGCGAGCTTGCCCGCTACGATGTATCGCTGAGATCCGGTATAAGCCGCACGCTGCTTAAGCTCACGGTCTTTGAGAGTCATGTTGACCTTGAAGGGAAAGCTTCCTCGCAGGCGAGCATCTGGCTCGATAGAATCCGACTCAAGCAGAATTGTCTCCGTCTTGAATTCGGGTTTGTATTCAATGGAATATATTGCTAAGGCTGTCAGTTCAATATCCACACGAAAACACAACAGTTGGCCTCACCGTTCCTATCACCACCGGTATCCAAATACCCGGACTTATTCTGATCATGTTCTATCACCATAATCACGCTCGTAGGATCTCGTCGAAAAGCACCTTCAGCATAAGGACTCTCGCTGAGAATTATAGCTGGTCTGGAAAGAGTATCCGGAGACAGACTGCAGTCGAGGACGGCCAACCACCGATCATTGGCTTCCTTGAGTTCTGTCTTGTCATGATTCCAACGTGTCAGTTTGCACGGACACTTCCACACGCGAAGGACCAGCCCTTGATCTGTCAACCTGACACTAAACAAGCCCGAGTCTTCTTGTCCTGCATATGTGCGAAGGTTAAAGTTGGCTGGGCTGTCAGCGAGGAAATGCATTCGGTGGGTATTCTCCTCAGGCTTTCGAGACAAGGGCCATCTCCAGACAAGTACGGACTGATCCTGCGACTTTTTGAGAACTTCTTCCTGCAATCTCAGAAAGGCTCTGGAGCCCTCGCCATATAATATGGGCATGTTGACTCCAAAAATTCCGAGCAAAGAGTACGCTAAATCTTCAACTCGCGTCGTTTCCCTGCGGGCCATCCAGCCCATCCTTGTGGCCACGTTTTCACGCTGGAGCTTGACCGATATCTTGCGATCCTTTTTCCCTTCAGGCCTGACCAAAAACAATTCATCAATGTCTGTAATCTCCTTGATTGTAGAAGCCAAAGTATGTCGGTCGCCGACGGGAGTCCAATTGTGATCGAAGAATTCCACCTCATCAGGCGCGATTAGCTCCTGTAGTGTCCATCCACGCGTGAACCAACGACTCTGCTTCAGGCCGGACGTCAAACCGATGCCCACGGCGTGTAGAAAGACATCTGTGAGGTAGACGTAGCATATATCCGCGTTGTTGTACCAGCGAAACATAGAATTGATGGCTTCTGAGAGCTCAGCGCTGCTGGACTTGTCGATGCAGCAAGTATCGATCCAGAGATGGCTGAGCCCGCGGCTGAGAGCCTTTTCGCAGGACTGCACTATCTTGCGGTAGCCAGCACCATTCTTTTTCCGAATGTCTTCCATGCGCGTGGGATTCTGTATGTCACCGAAAAGGACCTCATCTGTACCCCACGTATGAGACAGGATGGCGTATTTTTCGGACCCCTCTTCTAAGCTCTCGAGCTGTAGCGTCTTGGTGTTGAGAAGTCTCATAATTGTTTGCGAATCAGAAAGTGAGACAGGAAAATAAAAATAGGACGGACAGGTGAGATTGGTAGGCAAACAAACATCAAGATCGTCAAGCCATAAAGAGGTGATAATTGTGGTGGAGCACTTTCATGCTCTACTGCCTCTCCAGCCTGTGTCCGTGTCTGTGTCAGTGTCAGTGTCCGTCCGTACTAATAAGGGTCGTTTCAGTTCAGCCTCCTGCTGCTCTGTTGGCTGCTGGTCCAGGCGAGACGCGAGAGAAGAGAAGGCCTAGTCTAGGCCCAGTTCAGGGCCATACGAGGCGAAGCTCAAGCGAGTCACAGGCTTAAATTCCCTAGGGTTGCGGGTTGAGAGACCAATGAAATGTGTCAGAATCCCTGTGGCGAATCTCGTATGAATAAGATACAGCAGTAAGCTGCCGTTGGTTCTGCTCTGCTTCTGTTCATTCATCCGAGGCATAATGAGAGGTTGGGCAGATGCAAAAAAAAGGTCAGATATTTCAAGTCGACTCGAGAACGCCAGCGCTGGTTCAAAAGAGTGCAAGCTTAAATCCAATAAATGCATGCGTCGAGTCAGTCGTAATTGGGCGTTAGGATGGGAATAAAGACAGACGTGCATGGATAGATATGACACGTGATGTCACCTTTAACTCAGTGAAACCCCATGGCTTCATGCAATTCTTCACAGCTGGCTGTGTGTAGACCAAATTGTGATTTTGAACTCATAATCTGGATTGATTCTACTGATAAACTAAAGAGCGGTTTCTACCCAAAATATCTTGAACCCTTTCAACTTCTGGTTCTGGTTCCGCTTCCGCTTTCAATCACCAGGTTTGCGCCAACTATGTTTAACAAAGCCCGTTTCTAAGAATAAACTGCTAATCCTTGCGCCGCTTGAACCGAGCATAACAAATCATGAAGCCTCGTAGAGCATTTCCCATGCATGTGCCTCTCCATACCGATCCAGTTTCTCCAAGACGTGATTCTTCGCTTAATCAATTTTGGCGTTGGCCAAACTTCGGGCCGCTGGGTTGCTGAGATTGTTCACAGGCTTCACACCTCTGTATTTGCCCTGCTTTCGGAGACGCTTTCGTGCCACCATCACAGGGACCGAGCTCTTCGTCACCAGATAGTTGGAAAATGATCCCAGAATGACACTGTGTACTGTTAGCTGCTGTCATTGCCTCGATAGTGGAAACGTCGCTTAATTTAACGTACCCCTTGAGTGCACTCCTGCCTCGACTTCCTATGACGACAAGAGTTGGGTTAACATGGTCGATGACCTCTGTGATCAAGTGCTTTGGGTTCTTGCAATGCAAGACTTCCACGATAACTCTGACCTGAAGAGTCGTCTTTCGCAGAAGACGGAGCACTTTGTCTGTGATCTCCTTGACTGCTCGGCGCCGCTCTTCTTCCGCCCTACCCCTTTCTCCTCGACTTGAAGGCGCGGGAGATGTGTTTGGGGTATTGTTCTTGGAGGAGTCTCCTCGAATAGAATTCCTCACGAAATCTGGAACAGCAGACATGGAGGGCGCAGCAGATCTTGAGCTTGCTACCGTGTTGATAGCAGCTGCCTGCTCTCTCATAGCCTTCGGATCATCAGGAACTGAGTTGTCGACTCCCCCGATGCCGGTCTCCTCGTCCACGCAGTAGATGCATAGTAAGGTATCACCGTCTCGCAGGACTGTTCCAATGGCCCATTCGAGGGCGTGCGTCGATTCGTCACTGAGATCCGATGCAACCAGATATTTTCGCAGACGGTGGTGTTCCTCCTCGGCTTGCTGAACAATCTTGTTGTAATCGCCACGATAAATCATGCGGATAGCGCGGTGAGACTCAGGAGTAGAGATAATGCCTGACATCGAGCAGGAGAGCTTTTGAGCCCGCTTGATATCATCCATATCTGCCTCCTCATCTGAATCGTTTGCAGAAGCCACTGTTGACATCTGATCGTAAGCAGTCTTAGGATGCACACCGCCGCCTTTGTTTAACCGCGTGTTCTCGCCCAGAGGAGTGGTAATCTTTATTTCTGGCTCATCGAGTAAAGAACGGTACTTAGGTTGCTTCGCTGCAACTGTTGTCCCTGGTACCAAGTTAGCATCACCGACTTGAGGTGAGACGAGGGGAGGGGTAGCTTACGCTCTTCCTCTGCAGCAGCCAGAAGACTCATTGATTTTCGTCGCTCCTTATTCGCATCGTCTGCCGACCCACCAATTGCATCGGGGTTAAGTGACCTAGGAGCCTTCTTACGACCACGATCTTCGTCATCGGATGAGTACGCCTCGTCTTCCTCACTTGAGCCAAGGTGCTCGCCATCAGGGCTCAGGTAGTCTTTGATCATCCTTCCACTCTGGGCATCCTCGCGGTTGCGCCTCGGCAGCTGAGACAAGCTACCACCTGCGTACGCTAGGTTGGCATCAGATAACCTTCGATATGCATTGCTGATATCCACAATTCGGCCATCATCAAGCATGGCCTTACCTGGCGCCAATACTTGCGTTACAGGAGCTGGAGACCTGGACCTTGACCCCAGCCGATTGTGAGGAGATTTTGACTTCTGACTGCTGCTGCTACCGCCAAACCAGGAACGCCTGCCATCGCCTTCTCCAGGGATTTGCAGGCCACTGAGATCGGCGTTGCGGAGTGCCTCGCTCAGAGCATTCGCAGATGGCTTCCTGCCACCCTGCGTGTTTCTCTTGGGAAGTTGTTGGCCGCTATTGCGCGTAATAATATCTGAAAATTGATACCCGGCGGTAGGGTCATTACGTGCAGCAGCAGCTCTAGGTCCAAAATCGACGGGGTTCGAGGCTGCATCAGAGAAGCTGCGAGTGTGCCCGACGTTACTGGGCGCGAGAGTTGCTTTGGTCATGACTGGAGAATTAGGAGTCGTACTGGTCCCGGAAGGCCTCGAGGGCCCAGCGAGGGGGGTGTCAGTATCCAACATGCTTCGGTATTTTGGCGGCGGGGGAGAACTGGTGTCCAGCATACTCCGCACAGTCTGCCTTGGTGAGCTTGGTGTTGGCTGATCGTCGACATCCAACATACTCCGAACGGGAGATCGAGGGGTGGCGTAGGGTGAAGCAGATCGCATGGCTCCTGGCATGGAGGGCTCAGGGCGAGGTCGATTCTCGAGCAAGGCGAGAACTTCCTTGCGCTCCATATCGAGCATAGCCTCGATGCTCATGGGTTGCTGGTTGTGCGACATGATGACGGCAAATTCGAATCGAGATGTTCGTATTCAGGCAATAGACAAGATTTGTAAGAAGGGTGAGATGCGACGAGAGCTCAACCAAGCCGGTGTCGAGGATTGCGCCCACAAAGATGAACAGTCTGGTGGGGGTTCCGCAGGTAGATGTTAGAGATGCCTATGCAAGTGTGATACAAGGTGGCATTGCGCGTGGTCAAGAATGAATGCGTATATGTTCTATCGTCTCTCAAATTGGCTGGGTAAGAATCGATGGTGATGTCGGTAAGCGTTGAGATAAATGATAGTGTTCGAACTCGGGGCGGTACGTCAGAGGCCACTCGGTGAAGCTGGTGAGCGCCCAATAGCAGCGTAATGTCCTCGGTTCGCAAGGTCGCAATACCAAAAAGAACGGCGGAGGCAGTTATACGGGGGTCAATGTAGTGGTAATTCTTGCTTCGTTGTGTGACGGGGATAATGAAGCTGAGTATGAAGAGGAAGAGGAGAAGAGAAGAGGGGAGAGGAGAAAGGTTGACGTGCACTTGTACCGTAGCGGCAGCGGTAGTGGCAGTGGGATCTACCTTATGGAAGGTAGGTTCTGGGGAAGTAGTGGCGTGGAGTCTAGAGTTTAGAGGTGTTTGAGCCCAGAGCCCAGAGCCCAGACCGAAGCGGCGCAGCAACCCCCAATTTGGGTCACAGAAGTATGGAAGATCACACCGGGTTAGTGGGGTAGACGCAGCTACACCCAGGATGGAATAAGATGGATGAAAACAGTTGGGAAGGCTTGTTATCAAGCTTAAATGCAGGAGGCTTAGAGAAAGAGGCAACGAAACGGCGTGATTTAACTCTTGATATGTCACCGCTCTTCACAACAAATCTTACCAAACATTGACGCTATCGCGGACTGTTTCTTCCCTCCGTACTTTTGCCCTGAAGTTGGGCACTAAAGATCCGACTAACATTTAAGGTCAGTGCCTGTGACAAACCTCATTATGGTAATGATGTGCGTAAGACGTCGGTTAAAGCATTTTAAAAAGTGGACGGCGTCACCACTACTGCGTGAGGTTAATCGATATGAACTCACCAACCGAAATTAAAGAGGCCCAAAGGGTAGGTATGCTTGGATGATGAGAAAGAAAGAAAGAAAGAAAGAAAGAGAAAGCCCAATGGGGTCTTTGCTTTTGATGACTCAACTGAGTTTTCAAGCTCAAGCTGACCTGCTCAACCCCAACTGAGGCCTCCCTTGACCAAACTATCGAGTGGTTGTGTCGTCATGTGAAAGCATCATCCTGCCACCTCTAAATCGAAGTTTTATCATTGGACAATGCTTTCTTACAGGCGTCGAATTCGATCTGGGGCTCTATTCATATGATGCCCTGCGTAAAAAGAATCTCCAGAGTTATGTTCATCAGCCCTGTTGATCCATAAATCCCTAACTCCGTCGTGTTCATGCACCTAAGTAACTATCAATCAATTTATCTTGCTGGGTAACAAAATCAGTTTTCATAGAAGGACCGAATGTCTCGATATCTTGTTGAGCCTCGTCTACTACTCATAATTTAGCGAGTTTTGTTTCGCTACGAATTGTGAATACTTGTCAAAGCATTCCGACTCTCTAAGCGATTCGGGTGCCGCTGCAGTCCGGATCCGGGGCCGGGCTCTCGGCAGCTACCGAGGTTTCTTCCGATATCTTCGGCTTCCGTTCCCACCATACGACGGCGCCAATGAGAGCATAAGCACAGCCCCAAACCATGCTTTGACTCAAACAACGACGCTGAAACAGTCCCAACTTTGCTACAGTACAATACTATTGAGCTTGGAGATTCCGGACAGTCTGTGGATTCCCCTGAATGGCAAGTTGAGCACTAGGTACAGTAACATTAAATGCGTCTTTTCATCAGTATCTTGATATAGTTACATATTTTGCACATCTACTATACATCCAGAGGACCAGGCGTTCCATTTGCACCTCGTCTAAATCTACATCTTCTTCTTGACCTTGAGCTTGTTGGATCCAACATTCGCTCGTGCCGCTGTACCCAGCTTATGCACCTGCTTTCGCTTTTCCCACACACCCGAACGCCCCTCAACCACTGCAACGATCTCCTCAGCAATCCTGTATGGGAATTGCTTACGTCCACTGCCCTTGGAAGGCTTCTTGTTGATCACGTCCAGAATCCACTTGAACGCTACTCGTCGTCTCTGCCTCACACCCAGGGGTACGGGAAGTTCAAGTGCACGGCCACCACCACCGGCGCCGGCCACGTTGCGGATTTTGAGAAGAGGAGCTACCGAGTCCACGGCAACTGTGATGTACAGGATTGGGTTGAGAGGCAGGTGTGAGGCCGGGGGGGTTCCGGGCAGTAGAGGGTATTTCGGGCTATAGATCGGAGGTGGTGCGGTTCGGAGGTAATTCATGACAATGGCCATATTCTGATTCATTGATTAGCCAATTGCCTCCATTTTCATTCCGTAGGCGAAACTTACTCGTTGAGCAACACTGAGCTTACCATCCCTCATGAGGAGTCGGGTAATTTGCTCCAAGACAGGATGGTAACGTTTCTTCAGATTGAACCCTTGCGGCCACGGCCTCTTGGGGAGGCCAAACTTGTGTCCTGGGTTTTGCATCTCTGTGCTGTCCGTAGTCTCCAACTCGGACTTCTCTGCTGCTGCAACGAGAGCTTCAGCCTTCTCGGCTGAAGGAATAGTACCCTCTCGGTAAAGAACATCCTCCTGTGCCGGTGTCAGGCCACCCTCAGCACCTCCAACTGAGCTGGTTTGTGTACGGCCACCGAAAAATAATTGCTCGAGCGTTGCATCGTCGATAACTTCGGCACTAGACGTCGGAGAAGTCACCTATATCGCAGCTCATTAGCTGCGAGACACGGAAGCTTTTGAACCAAGTCCTACCTCAACCTCTCCATTTTCTGCTGCCGACACTTCCTCCTTCGGTTCTGATCCAGCCTGGGAGTTTTGAGCCTCTTGAGAGTTATCAATTGCCTTCGGAGGATGATCGTTTCCTTGGCTCGAATACCATCTGTTGCGTGGAAGAGACTGGATGAATGGGGCTGATCGAGGGGCGACAGGTCTCGAACGAATTGCGAGAGCTCTGCATGCGCCCCAAATACTCGTTCTTGGAGACATGACTGAGCTCCGCGTTGCTAGCAACGTTCTTGAAGCAGGAATTATAACAGCCTCGTGGCTCTTGTGATCCGATTGTTAGTCTAATTCGCGATGCAAAATTCCCAGAATGACGGATAAGCAATAATCCGAGCGTTGATGTATGCTTACATAACCACGTCTGAAGCTCGATATCAACGACACTCCAGGCAAGGAGACAAGAGTTGGAGCATTGGAATTCATATTGACTCAATATTCTGGAGCGGGAATTATGTGTAGTAATGTCTTGTGATTCTAAAGGTTGGAAGTGCTCGTGGTTGAACTTGAGCTCGACTCTTGCGAAACGAAGTCATCGAGCTGCTTGGATTGGACATGAAACCAGCTTCCAATGGTTATGGTAGCAAATGATAATCATCCTAGAGCCATTGCTGCTCTCCTCTTGTCAGGAATCAAATTATGCAGCTTACTTCAGCTACCCAACTGATACTAGGTGGGTGTTCATAACACAATTGACGTCGCACTGAACCTCACTCTTATGCTGTGAAATGCCGACGCCGGATCGATAGTAGAGTATAAACCAGTCGGCATTTATAAACTGCCGTTTCATGTGGCCTGCTCATGCTGTCCTACCTACGCTGTGACCGACCGTGGCTGTACCGAGGGTGGGGGTTACACAACATTGGTTGAGTATGAACTTCCCCTTCAGGAGGGAACTGTACATGAGAAAACGACGTTGAGAGCTGTCGGAGCCTCGATGCGCTGACTGCATTGCACAGGGATGCTGCGAGATATGCTGATAGGCCCTGAAATAAACCCCCCCCTCGACCTCACAGCAAGGAACTTGTTTGGGTATTCCTTGGAAATTTCATTACTGAACGTCCCAAATACTAAAGGATCGAATCAAACTGTATAGTTCTAAAAGTCTCCGTCTGCTGTTCTACGAGCTTTTGTGAACCTCCACACGAGGGCTCATTAGTAGAGACCCTCAGTGTAACCGACTCCGTCAAACACCAAACAAGAACTGTAATAACCGACATATCCTACCCTTTCTTCAAGTCATACATGAAAAAATCAGACTTTCGCCCTCCAACCCAACCCATAAAATACAACCGAAGACCTTGACCAAGGGGTCAATTGTTCCAGGTGCTGAGAGCATGGTGAACATAACCTTGCCCGTTTCGTAAGTTTTGCTACCAAACTCCAGGTGCTTGATTCGAAAAGAGGTAAGACCAAAAGGAAATCATAATAACAAAAGAAAGATAACTCCTTCGTTCATAAATGGACAGACCACCATTTCCGTAGATGTCAGTAATGCTTGAGTGGGTTAAGCATATGAAAAGGAGTGACCCCCACATCGTAAGTCTACCAACCCCATTGCTGGGTGGGAGAACTAGATTCAGATCCAGTCAACCACTTGACGGCACATTCGGCAGCATCTTCTCTGGCATTGTTGAGATTCTTGCCGTCATACCAGAAACGAGCTGCGAGAGTCTTGCCATGGACAGTTACTCTGCTGGACCAAGCAGTTCGGCCACCTATAAGAATGTGAGCTCAGGACCAGAACATCTAAGTCATCTTTCAGGACTAGCATACCTCGACGATCTGACACAATTTGAAAAACCGGGGGACGCAACTGGGCATCTCGGCAAACACCTGATCAGTAGTTAGAATATGAAGTTTGTGCCAAGTGGAGGGTGGGGGTTTCCATACTGTCGAGCTGATCTTGCCAGGGGCCAGTAGGAGTGGCAGACTGAACCTCCATCGCGATTTTGGGCTTTTTATAACAGGCGGAGATTGGTGTAAGATAGTTGGCCGAAGAAACTGATTTTTCTGAGACCAGAGAGTTGAAGTTGAAGAAGGTTGGTGTACCAGATCTGAATAACCAAAGATCTAATGAAGCC